TCACTGTACCGAGGAAACAGTTCCACTCAATAAACATCACTCATTTCCTCCAAATTCCCACACTAAAGCACTAAGCTTTTAAACGTTTAGGGTTTTAAAAACGCTAAAATTTTAAACAAATCTCTCTCCAATCAATTACACAGTCCTGAGAAGACCAGATTGCTGCAGTGGGGAGTCCTGGGTTGCCCTTCTGGCTTCTCTAGTTTCTCTCTAACTCTTGGGTAAAAAGAAAATCGGATCAGGTCAGCGTTTCCCAAAGTACAATGCGCATTCAGTGCAAGACCTTAGTACAAGAAATGACTTCAGATGCACACAGATTAACATGTTTAGCTATCAGTTTAATTCGTCATGGCAAATGATACTGGTTTTCCATTAACGGCGGAAATAGAAAATGTTCTCTAAAATATAAGCATCTAAGACTTTTTTAAAAAAAATGGGTCGCTTTTATTAAAAAACAACAACAACAACAACAAAAAACTAGTAAATAAGAGTTCAGGTGGTTCTAGTAGCTGTGGAAAAATAAATGATCTAGAGACCTTGGTGTTGCGCAAGAGAGGTAGGTGTACAGCCCGGAGGGAAGAGAGCGAAAGCCCTGGAGGTTTGCTGCTTAAGGGGACCGGGGCACCGGATGCGCGGTAACTGGCCGCCTGTCCTCCTGGCTCTCAGGGAAGGCTTGGAACAGGGAGAGCCAAGAAACCCCCCAAAGGTCGGGACGCCTCCAGCTCTAGGCGACATCCCACAAAAGAGAGGCCCGGGCGGGGGTCCGGCTGAAAGGGGCGAGGGCGGAGCTGGAGGGGCGCGGCGGGAAAGCGAGTTAGGCTAGAGGGGCGCACTGGGACAGGGGGATGGGGCGTTCTCCGGCTGGCAGGGTGCCGGGGGTCAGAGGTCCAGGACTGGAGGGGCGTGGCAGGGACCGGGGTCCCAGATGGGAAGGGAGAGGCGGGGGTCGAGACTGGAGGACTTGCGGGTGGAAACTGGGGGGCCCAGCCGAGAGAGGGGCGCGCCCAGGGGGCCGTGGACGCCCCCACGCAGAGAGGGACTGGGCCGCGGCCCCCGCCGC